TAACATTATTATTTTAATTTATTTTTATTTCTTTTAACATTTACATTTTTAATTAGCGTTGACTAGTATATACAAAAGAAGATAAACAAATCATATTTGAAATAAAAATTTATTAACGTTCAAAACAATTCAAAAAGAAATAAGGTATAATGTAAAATAAATTACAATTTATAAGATAAATCTTTTAACAATTTGTACAATATGATGTGGAAAAACATGTTTTCTTTCTGAACCCTTTAGCTATAACACTATCTAAATAAAAATAGTTCACTGTACATAGCACGATATTCACGTATCAGTTGCTGAGATATGTCGGCAAAATAGAAAAGAAACACGTGCGTAGTTCATGCATATAAAGCGCTTACTCATGACTATATAAAATATTATGAAATGAAAATTTGCAATAGCAAAAAATTCATAATGGTCATTTACTCCAATTGCTGTTATGCAATCTGTAATAGTATGTACAATACAATATTTTTATTCAATAAGAAAATATAAATGTTATACTGAACAAAATTAGAGAACATAACAGAGGACATATATACATATACTTTTCATAGCTAAAGGGTTAGTATTCCTTATGATATAATTATATAAAAAAATTAACAAAAATACTTGAAGTAAAAACACATTATGAACATATTGATTTATGGATTTATTGTTAAATATATAAAGTGTTTTTAAAAAACAGGTTCAGGGTTTATAAGATAGAGAGTATTCGATATGTCAAATAGAAAAACTCAGTGAACATGAGTTGAAAAATTAGAAAACCATATAAGAATCAGAAACAATTTTCGATGTTGGTAAAATGAGTAACTGCCACATTTTGTCTACAATATATGAAACAAAAATAAACGCACATTTCATTTTGATGATATCCTTGATTGATTCTACGATAGATGTTCATTAACCATTTTTTACGCGGCTTGGCGAATGCTATCTATTCTATGAGTCTTGAACCCTTTTTTAAAACTACCTTGTATATTGATGAACTTTGGATTTTGGTGCAACTGTTAGTATTACTAACAGCTTTATCATTAATTTCTTTTTGTATAACTACGAGAAAATTATACCGTGTTTTAATAATAGGAAAGAAAATATATACATATCATATGTTTTGATTTAAAATTATAGTTGTACTTTTTTATATACTAACAATGTTAAAAATAATTGTAAACTGTAATTCAGTAAGGTTTTTCGTTTGCAAAAACAAACTATAAAAATTTTAAATCAGTTTATCACTCTTCTATTTTGCATTTTGATCACAGCAAGGAATGAAATTTAACATTGTAGTAAACCAAGGAATGTGTTATGAAAAAAAAATTATTTTGGAACATTTTAATCATAAATTAATAACAACAATTAGTTAACTACCTTTTTGGAATGCAAAAAGAATTCTTTAAAAAGTACATTAATCTTCTTGATATCTGAGGACTTTAGTAATAGTACGAGTTAAGGGAAAGCTTTCATTGAATTTACATGTGTCATTCCAATCATCAACATTCAAAGAAAATATCATTGCACCTCCAAAATTGTTTGCACGAATCCATACTGCCTAAAAAATACATAGAAAATAATTTTTTAGAACGTTTTTGCAACCTTGGTAGAGAAAAATATGAAACCCCAAATGTTTTTAAAGTCTTTCTTTATCTTTTTTTTGAAGGGGAACAAATTTGAGTTAGTGCTTTGAATAAGTTTTACTAAAAATGTTTCAATAATATAAATATATTTAGTTTCTCGATCTTCGTTAACATTATTGATACTTATGTTAGAATCCCCATTAAGTATTGAGTAATAAAAAAAAGTATATGTGCATACCTTATAATAAACACTTGTAATATCATCGTAAGAAATCCATTCTCTGTCTTTATAAGCATAAGGAACTTTGCTTTCTTCTTCAAAAACTGTTTTTGCACCATTCTGAAGGAACTCACAAATCGTAGGATAACAAACAAAACCCGCATGTCCCAATTTACCAAATCCATTTGCAGGAGCAAGTAAATCGTGATTTAACGGATTATCCAATTCGTAGGAATGACCATAGTTAGAAATCCCAATAATTAACTTTTCTCTTGGCATGCCTTTTGAAAGCCAATATTGGGCCGAAAAATTAACATTTAAAGTAGAAAGGTATCCAGATTCTGCAGCTCGTGGAAAAAGCGGTGCATTGAGTCCGGTTACTGGATAGTACCAAACATAAAAATGGTAGTCATACGACATCAAATTCACGAAATCTACGTACCTAAATAATGAAGAAATTTTATATATTTTGTATAAATGCTCATGAAAAATATAAGTAAACATATAATTTTAGTACTATTTAAACGAATGAAAATATTTTTTCTTCTTAATATAAGCTAGTATAGCAATTAAGATTATTACTGATTTACTATAAAGTACA